AATTAAGATAAATGGGCAATTAAAGCCATTTTTGCTTCTCTCTCCCATCCTATCCTTTGATGTTCCAACCCACTAAACAAAATTAGTTTCTTTCAATTACCAAATTAGTTTCTTTTACATTGAAAATTTTGTTGTTGTGTATGTATACTCCAATTGAAAAGCAATATGCTTTTTGTCTTCACTATAATTGATTAAGCTTTGAATTAAATGAAAGAAATGGAAAGAGTCACACATTAAGCAAATGGTACAAGGCGTATTGTTCCATCAAAACAAATAATACACAATACATGAGTTGGACATATTGACTAACAACCATCAATGCCTATAGAGTTAAAGATGGTATCTTATTTAGAGGAAACTCAACAGTGGAGATGAGAAACCAAGAGTTTGGTCAAATAAGATCCAATACTTATGTATTAGAGGACATCTTAATTACTAAAAATTCTAGTTATGTCTCTCAATGATAGTAAAGTGTTTTTAAATCAAAGTAACAATAATTTGAAGTTTAACCTCTACATTTTATAGAAAAGATGGAGAAAGACACAAAAAGAGAAAGCAAAAGTGTATTGGTCTTTGAATGTGTGGAAATAAATGAGACTCTAAGCCTTTTTTCTGTCTTCTTTCTCTTGAAACATTGAGAACCCATTGATTCAAATTCACTAAGAAGAAGAAATTAGCTTGGAAAGCAAGAAAGAACAAAGGAAAGAGAGAATGCAACAAAAGGTCCATTCTAGAGACCTATTAAAATAAATGTGCAATTAAGCCATTTTGGCTTGTTTCTTCAATCCTATCCTTTGATGTCCTAGCCCCCTAAGCAAAATTAGTTTCCTTCAATTACCAAGTTTTATTGATTTATTTGATGAAATTTTTATTGGTTTATGAATTTGAAATTCAGAAAGATAATATAATGAGATTAATTGCAAATTTAAATTAAAAATTTAAGAAGGTGAAGTTTGAATTTAAAATAAATGATATAATCTAAAAGAGACTTTTTGTTATAAAGATTTAAATTAGTTTTAAGTAAGAATTTTCAATTTTGTTTATTTTGTAAATAAAGTAATAATTTTAATTTGAATTTATCTAGTTTTTAGTTATTGGCCAACAATAAAAAGTAAATGGATAGTCACCATTCTATTTAAAGAAGAAAATATTAAAATCTCCGATTAAGATTACAATTTAAAATTAAGTTTAAAAATGAAAAAAAAATTAAAAATAGCTAATAAATAAAAGAATTATCCAGAGACTAATAAAATTTTAGTTTTTTCTTTTTATAATTTCTAGGCCTTAATGTATTTTGGGCCTTAATGGCATGATTAAAACTAAAAACTCAACCACAATTATACTATGGCTCTATTTAGTATGGTTGTGATTTTGAATTTTGAGTTTTGGCTTTTTATAAATTTCAATTACTGAATATCAAAAAATTGAAAATTTGTTTAAAATAAATTGTAACATTGGTAAACTAAAATTTTTTTCTTGTTTAATATTATTAAAATTAATAGAAATAAATTCGTGCTATAGACAATTTTATTTTTTGCGGAATTAGTTTTTAACTTGTTTATAAATACCATTTTTTAAGTTTTAAAACCTTTTTTTTAGAAAAAAGGGTTATTTTTTTAGCGTAAGTGTTTTGTAAGCACTTCTTTTCTTCAAAATTTACTTGTAAGCACTCTAAAATTTAAAAACTAAAAAGTAGTGTTTTCCTCCAATATTTTTTAAATTTTATATAAAAAAAAAGTGATTAAAAGTAAGCTAAAAAAAAAACTCTGCCTGCGGTCCTAAATTGCATTTTTATTCCTCCTATTTTGGTCTTCAAAGATTAGTGAAATCTCTGTTTCCTTTTTTTTTTTTTTAATAAAAATATTTTTATTTTGTGTAATCTTTTGCCTTTGTCCAGTGAGAGTGGGCCACTGAGTTCAGGTCATGGACGTTTTATTTGTGAGTTGTGATCCGTGAATAATGGAACCACTGAATGGATTGAACTTTATGAAAGTAGAAGCCCACCCAAGATTAACTTAAAATGGTCATGGGCTTCCCAGGCCAGGTCTGCTTCCGATTTAAGTCTCTCTTGGGCCTATAGCCTGATTACTGCCTCAACAAAATGTTTAAAGTTATCAAATCACATAGAACAAAATTTTGGGTGCTTCATGCTCGTGACCTATGGTCCAACATTTAGATACAAACCTCAAAACTGCTATATAAGGTCATCGATTCAAATTAAATAAATCTTTTTCTTCCTGCTCGAGGTGGAATTGGAATTCCCAAGGCACCTTAGAACCCTACGAAGTGAAGTGAGGACTATAGAGATTCACCTATTTAAACGTGGGCAATATTGTACAGAACCGTAGTGCTTCTGAAAGTTTGAAGGTTTCCCTTTGATTTTGGGTATGGAGATGGAGCGATATCTGCTGGATACATTCAGCAAGAATCTTACCGATTATCAGACTGTCCTTTTGCATAACCATTTTTCTAAACTGAAGGGTTTTATTGAACAAGTCATACCATCCTCACCATCACCGGAGAACGATGCGGCCATCAGGGAAAAGCTTTACCGCCTCAACAATCTGTGTGCCGAATGCCGGATGCTGTCATATTCATGCAATTTCCTTCCAGATCTACCTGCCCTCTATAATATCAAGACAAATTTAAATAAGATCAAGGAGGAACTCACGGAGAGGCTCAAAGATGCAGTTAATGTTAATGAAACCCCGGTTCGCCAGCCAAGCACGGCCGGGCAGGGCAGTCAGATGAATGGGAAACTCTCCAAGAGACTACGAAGCATGTGGATGCATCTAAGGTTCACGGGTTC